AGTCAGACACTTAACCAACTGAGCCACCCAGGCACCTGTGAGGGTTTTTATCATGAATGGATGTTGTACTTTGTCAAATGCTTTTTCTGAATTTATTGAAATGATCATATTGTTCTTACCTTTCTCTTACTGAGATGATATGTCATGTTGATTGATTTGTGAATACTAAACCATCCTTGCAATCCAGGAATAAATCTCAGTTCATCGTGGTGAACATTTTTTTAATGTATTGTTGGATTCTGTTTCCAGTATTTTCTTGAATATTTTTGAATCTTTATTCACCAGAGATATTGGCCTGTAGTTCTCTTTTTTGGTGGAGTCTTTATCTGGTTTTGGTATCAAAATACTACTGGCCTCATAGAATGAATTGGAAGCTTTCCCTCCTCTTCCTTTTTTTTTTTTTTTTTTTTTTTTTTTTTTTTTTTTTTTTTTTTTTTTTTTTTTGGAATAGTTTGAAAAGAATAGGGATTAGTTCTTTAAATGATTGGTAGAATTCCCTGGGAAGCTTAGACCTGAACTTTTGTTTGTTGGAATTTTTTTTATTATTGATTTTATTTCTTTGCTGGTTATTAGTTTGTTCAAATTTTCTATTTCTTCCTCATTTAGTTTCAGGAAGTTATATGTTTCTAGGAATTTATTTACTTCCTTTTGGTTGGTCAATTTGTTGGCATATACTTTTTCATAATATTCTTTCATAATTGTTTGTATTTCTGTGGTATTGGTTGTTATTTCTCCTCTCCCATTTATGATTTTATTTGAGTCCTTTCTCTTTTTTTCTTGATAAATCTGGCTAGAGGTTTATCAATTTTATTGGTTTTTCAAAGAACCAGCACCTGGCTTCAATGATCTGTTCTATTGATTTTAAGTTTCTGTATCATTTATTTTAGCCCTAATCTTTATTATTTTCTTCCTTCTGCTGGTTTTAGGTTTGTTTATAGTTGTTTTCCTAACTCCTTCAGGTACAAGGTTAAGTTGTTTAGTTAAGATTTTTCTTGCTTCCTTAGGTAAACCTGTATTGCTGTAATTTCCCTCTAAGAACTACTTTTGCTGCATCCCAAAGGTTTTGAACCATTGTGTTTTGATATTTATTTCTTTCCATTCACTTTTTTTCATTCCTTTATTTATTTTTTAAAATTTTTTAAATTTTATTTCTTAAATTTACATCCAAGTTAGTTAGCATATAGTGCAACAATGATTTCAGGAGTAGATTCCTTAATGCCCCTTACCCATTTAGCCCATCCCCCCTCTCCCAACCCCTCCAGTAACCCTCTGTTTGTTCTCCCTATTTAAAAGTCTCTTATGTTTTGTCCCCCTCCCTGTTTTTATGTTATTTTTGCTTCCCTTCCCTTATGTTAATCTGTTCTGTGTCTTAAAGTCCTCATATGAGTGAAGTCATATGATATTTGTCTTTCTCTGACTAATTTCGCTTAGCACAATACCCTCTTGTTCTATCCACGTAGTTGCAAATGGCTAGATTTCATTCTTTTTGACATCTTCTTTATCCATTCATCCATCGATGGACACTTGGGCTCTTTCCATACTTTGGCTATTGTTGATAGTGCTGCTATAAACATTGGGGTGCATGTGTCTCTTTGAAACAGCATACCTGTATCCCTTGGATAAATAACTAGCAGTGCAATTGCTGGGTCGTAGGGTAATTCTATTTTTAATTTTTGGAGGAACCTCCAGTCTTTTCCACAGTGGCTGCACCAGCTTACATTCCCACCAGCAATGCAATAGAGATTCTCTTTCTCAGCATCCTCGCCAACACCTGCTTTTGCCTGAGTTGTTAATGTTAGCCATTCTGACATGTGTGAGGTGGTATCTCATTGTGGTTTTGATTTGTATTTCCCTGATGATGAGTGATGTTGAGCATTTTTTCATGTGTCAGTTGGCCATCTGGATGTCTTCTTTGGAGAAGTGTCTATTCATGTCTTTTGCCCATGTCTTCAACTGGATTGTTTTTTGGGTGTGGAGTTTGATATGTTCCTTATAGATTTTGGATACTAACCCTTTATCTGATATGTCGTTTGCCAATATCTTCTCCCATTCTGTCGATTGCCTTTTAGTTTTGCTGATTGTTTCCTTCACTGTGCAGAAGCTTTTTATTTTAATGAGGTCCCACTAGTTCATTTTTGCTTTTGTTTCCCTTTCCTCTAGAGACGTGTTGAGTAAGAAGTTGCTGTGGCCAAGATCAAAGAGGTTTTTGACTGCTTTCTCCTCGAGAATTTTGATGGCTTCCTGTCTTACATTGAGGTCTTTCATCCATTTTGAGTTTATTTTTGTGTATGATGTAAGAAAGTGGTCCAGATTCATTCTTCTGCATGTCGCTGTCCAGTTTTCCCAGCACCACTTGCTGAAGAGACTGTCTTTATTCCATTGGATATTCATTCCTTCTTTGTCAAAGATTAGTTGGCCATACATTTGTGGGTCCATTTCTGGGTGCTCTATTCTGTTCCAATGATCTGAGTGTCTGTTTTTGTTCCATCTATGCACTTTTTGATTTCTTCTTTTATTTCTTTACCTATTCATTGTTTATAGCATATTATTTCACCTCCATGTATTTGTGCTTTTTGCAGATTTTTTCTTGTGGTTGACTTCTAGTTTCATACCATTGTGGTCAGAATGGGTACATAGTATGATTTCAATTTTTTTCAATTTATTGTTGCTTGTTTTGTAGCCTAATATATGATCTATTCTGGAAAGTGCTCCATGTGCACTTGAAAAGAATGTATATTCTGTTCTTTTAAGATGGAATGTTCTGAATACATCTGTAAAATCTATCTGTTCCAGTGTGTCATTCAAAGCCATTGTTTCCTTGTTGATTTTCCATTTATATGATCTATTGATGTAAATGGGGTATTAACATCCCCTAGTATTATTGTATTATTAGCAACTAGTTCCTTTATTAACTATTTTTTGTATTTTTTTAAAAAACTTATTTATTTTGAGAGAGAGAGAGAGAGCAAGCATGAGTGGAGGAGGGGAGAGAGAGAGGGAAAGAGAAAGAATCCCAAGCAGGCTCTGCATTGTCTGCACAGGATCCAATGCGGGGCTCAACCCCTTGAACTGTGAGATCATGACTGAGCCAAAGTCAAAGTCAGATGCTTAAACAACTGAACCACCCAGGCACCCTTGTTTTATGTATTTGAATGTTCTCCTGTTGGGTCCATAAATATTTACATTTGTTACATCTTATTGTTCAATTGTCCTCTTTATTGTCTCCTTTATTATTATATGCTGCCCTTCTTTGTTTCCTGTTACAGTCTCTTTTCTTGGAGTGCCTGTGTGGCTCAGCTGGTTACGTGTTTGACTCTTGGTTTCAGCACAGGTCATGATCCCAGGGTCATGGGATCAAGCCCCATCTCAGGCTCCAGACTGAGTGTGGAGCCTGCTTATGATTCTCTCTCTCTCCCTGTGTCCCTCTCCCCAACGCATACTCTCTCTAAAACAAAACAAAACAAAAAACTATACTATTGGTATTAGCTTATTGCTACCTCTCATAAGTATATGCAACCAATAGAATTATAATCTTTAAAATGTGTGATCCTGATTCTTTGGATCTGGGTTAATTATTTCAGAGGGAACTGTGACCTATTTTTCCATTTTATTAGTTCATGGCTCTGTCGGTACTTTACTTCTAGTCTAGAAAAGTAGGGATAGAGAGCCCCCCAAAAATAAATTATAAACACAAGTGTTTATAGGTGCATGTTCTAAACCATCCCATTAACCAGCATGTTCATTTTGATCTTGATGATTTGGTGATTGATAAAACTCCAGAATCTGTTGTTATTCCAGAACACCAATTAAGCATTCCTTGGGAAAGTAACATAATATTTAATATAAATTAAGCATGTGTTTCCTGGACTTTTATTTTTACAATTTCCTGAAAGTAATGGTATTGGTTACCTACTTAAACAATTACACTACAACAAAGATAAGATGTCAAGAATGACTGAGTTTTTTTGTTTTGTTTTGTTTTGTTTTGTTTTGCAGTTTTTCACCAAGTTACAGTATATGTAAACTGTAGAATACGTGAATTTGGGAGTCACATTGCTTGGGTTTCTACTGTGTTCTATCTCTTACTATCTGTCTGTCTGACTTTCTTAGCCTGTAAAATGGGCTTTATAGTAATTCTTATCTCAGGGCATTGTTGTAAGAATTAATAACATATTCCATGGCACATATTAAGTGCATAAATATTGGTATTAGTATTAATATTAATATTTGATAAATACTAAGTAATAATGAATAGGTATTTTTCTACATACTTCCTACCATAAATGCATTTTAAAATTGTGCAAGTGAGGGGCGCCTGGGTGGCGCAGTCGGTTAAGCGTCCGACTTCAGCCAGGTCACGATCTCGCGGTCCGTGAGTTCGAGCCCCGCGTCGGGCTCTGGGCTGATGGCTCAGAGCCTGGAGCCTGTTTCCAATTCTGTGTCTCCCTCTCTCTCTGCCCCTCCCCCGTTCATGCTCTGTCTCTCTCTGTCCCAAAAATAAATAAACGTTGAAAAAAAAAATTAAAAAAAAAAAATAAAAGAATAAAATTGTGCAAGTGAATGCATTTTCTCACTAGGGTAGTATTTAAAGCAAGATTCTTTAAATATGCTGTGTGAGGGAAAGGACATACACTTTAAGTACATAGCACACACATTCTGGCATATATGTGAACTGTTCAATGGCAAAGGAAAAGTACCCAATATGTTTCATATTTTATTAATTACTCAGAGTTATGGTCTATGTTTTGCCAAATTACTCATTACACTTATAAGTTTTCTTTAATAACCCTAAAAAACCTAAATCTCATTTAAAAGGCTTAGATTGTAAATGCATTCTTGATTTTAAAAATTGGATAAACTACACTGTTTAACAACATACTGTGAAATTATAGTTTCAACTTTATTTTTTAATAACAAATGTTTGATGACTATTGAAGTTTCACATATATTTTTAAGACAACATTATAAACTACACAAAAGGAAAGAATCTCACTTCTTACCTTTGATCCAGAAGAAATCCAATGGAGGTCAATGTCAAAATAATGAAGCAAACCCTCAGAAGGAGGGTAACTTGTGATAGTGCCTGTCAAGCAAATACAGAGACCAAAGATTCTTTAGGAGAGTTATCAAAAAGAACATTAGAACTTAAAGCTGTCAAGATAACCAGCCTCAAATTTTATTTTATATTACACCATTTGTCACTGGCATTTTTCAAAAAGGCTAATTATGCAGCAGACATTTTGGTTTCCTTAATGTCATTTAATTATCTTGCTGAACGCTTGGGAGAATCAAGTGGACACTTCCACAGAACTATTTTGTTTAAAATATTCTTTCTAAAAATTCTCCTTTATAGTTATGACTGTCATAATTCTTTGAAACACCTGTGCCCCTCATATGGAGAAATCACTTACATTTTTATGAATAAATAGCACAGTCCAATAGTTATTTTTATTATCACAAATTCTTTGTGGTTTCAAACCCAACACTGTTTTTAATACAGAAAATATTTAAAGCAGAACGTGTTTATGCGTGCCAACACATAAATAAAACATATTGCACAAATATATATTCATATTTGATGAAATCTACAGATTTCCTATGTACATGCCAAGGGTTATCTTTTCAATTATTGTAATAAAACATTTTAATCATAATTATAAATGAATTATGCATTTTGTTTACATGTCAAAATTTAATAATAATGTTTATTGAGCATCTACTATTTTATAGCTTCTATGTTATATGTTTCATATATTTCAATTCTTTTCTTTAGTCCCAACAACCTTACAGATAAGGTATCATTATATCTGCTTCATATATGAATAAGGTAACTTTTCCATCATCACATAGAAATAAATGACACCTCTGAAATTCAAAATACATTTCCCTGACCTCAAAGTATGACAATGGTGGAATAAATATGAGCAACAAACCTAAACAGTCAGGGGCAGAGAGGTTGCAGAGCTAATATTTAGGGTCAGATGAATACTGTTTTCATGTGAGAGTGGATCTGTAAAAGCAAGAAGTTGGATGCACACCCCTTGAATGATTCCCCTACTCACTGATGGTGTTTATGTTGCATCTTAATGAGAACACCAGAAGTGTGACACAGCAAAGTGGCTAATAGAGTTATCAAAACATGCAAACACTCTTTCTCTGCTTTTTCATGAAATACCTAGAGGTAATTTCAACTCATTTATTAACTAATATATATACCTACAAAAACTGCATCTGTCCACAGTTTTAAACAGTAAGCAAAAGCCATCAATCACAAACACTGTTCACATCCAATACCCCCTCTCCACACTGCCTTATACATCAAGCCTGACCTCACAGCCAACTTATAACACCTCTCTATTCAGTATCGTATGCTTGGATGGTACCCGGAATTGAAAGGGATTTAAAAGCTTCCAAAGCAATAGTTGAAAAAAAAAATTAAAAAAAAAAATATGAATAAAAAATATCGATTTGTTTTGGAGTATGGGGACTAGGTAGGTATCAGATATAAGAGGGAAAGCTCAGTGGACACCAGAATGTTTAGAGAGCTAGAGAGTGCTATTTGGATATGTGGAATTCAGCAATGACTGCTTTGGGACAATGCAGCAAAAGTGCCAGAAAATTATTTTCAGGGTGGTAGAAGTAACTAGGTCTGTTTAAGTAGATTAATGGCTGTTTAAGGGATATGTTCTAAATGCTCCAAGAGCTTCAATTTCTACTTAGAATAAAACTCAAAAGTCCTTACTCTGGCCCATATATAACATATCCCCTTACCATATTGTCCCCTAGTAATCTCTCTGGCTTTCATATCACAAATTTTGTTCTTCTTTCAACATGGCAAACATCCTTCCCACTCAAGTCTGTTTTATTTACTGTTGCTTCTATTGGAACAACTTCCCCCAGGGATCCTTAGGATTCATTCCTTCATTTCACTGAGGTACTATTCAAATGGACATCCTTGTCTGTCATATATAAAATAGCACTTTTTCATAATCATCTATAACCTTATTCGTTATATTGTTCTCCATACAACACTTTTGTACAATTATACATTTATACACTTATCATTTCTATACAATTGTAGATTTGTCCATTCTTTTGTTTTTGTTGTCTGTCCCACCCCACAAGAATGTAAGCTCCATTAGAGGTTACGTTTTGTTATTCACTGTTATATCTCAAGCATCTAGAACATTTCCTGGCACATAGTCAGTACTCAAATATTTTTCTTGAATGACTGACCAAATGAATGAATATTTTATTACTTTTTTTTACATTTTATTACATCTTATTACATTTTTGTTTTAATTACAATTTTGTTTAATGTTTTATTACATTTTTGTTTTATTACATTTTGTTTTAGTGTTTTATTACATTTTGTTTTAATTTTTGTTTTAATGTTTTGTTTTGTTTTAAGAAATTTAATAATTTCTTAAATTATCAATTGGTTTAGTCAATACTTTAATATTTATAACATTAAATATATAATTTCCTATCAGTGTTTTAGTTTATTAAAATTAAATTATATTAAATGAGTTAAAATTTGGTATTTCATAAATTAATATTAATAATTTAATATCATATATTAAGTGTTTCAAGGTGTTAAATATGTTAAATATTAAATCCTTTAATATTTATTTCATTCCTTAAAGAACAGAATTGTCCTAAAGACAAGAGTCCACTTCTTTATTTAACTTCTAAGGTTTTCCATAGAGCATCATTCGATAAGCTAATTAAGGCATATAATCAATTAGTTATATCTAATTTCTACATATTCATTTCATAAATGTTTATTGAGCGTGTGCTAGCCATCATAGTAGGTATGAGTTTAAGAAAGTGATCAAGATGGACAAAATCTCTACCCTAGAAAACATACTGCTTTAATCCCTGATTATATGATCATAGGCCAGCTATACTAGAGCAAAAAGGGAAAAAAACAAACAAACACATAAAATAGGATGGATAGGCTTTGACCATAAACAGTTAGACTCCTGTGTTTTAAACAATATGTGAAATGACTTAAAGACTCTTAGTTTTTTATAACAAATAAAACTTTATTTTTCATTGGGTTAAATCTCATTTCATACATTCCACTACTGGTAAATCTTTTATGTAAAATATTGCTGTCCTAAAATGCTAAGATGGAATTATTCTAAATTAACCTTTGAATGCATTATAAGTTTTTATCACACACACAAACACAAAAACATACGAAGCAGACCATAACTATGAAAGTTTTATCAAGCAAGGAATTATTTTTCCTTTTTAAAAGTTATCTTACAAGTCAGCAGTTCAGTTGCCCTTATTTCCATTGAAGTTTCCTAGTGCAGCAATCACTGTACAAATTTGTATGCCTGAAAAACTCTACTTCTGTGCAACTTACTTTTAAGGAAAAAACAAAACAAAACAAAACAAAAACAAAAAAATACCTCAGAAGCAGCATTAATTACATAGGTATTCTAGTAGAATTACATGTTTGATGCAAACTGCATAATCAATGAGCTGTGGGAATCCTTCCTCTGCTCACAAATATAAAGAAGAAAGCTTTTTGCTTCTTGACTGGGGATATCACCCTGTTAACATTACATGGAAAAACACTGTTGATCAACATAACTACCTTTCATACTTCCCCACCTGACAAATCTCACAGAGGGAGGTATCAGCTCCATACGCTGTGTCATAAAATACTCCTATGCCTCTATGTAAACAAATTCTTTTTTAAAACTTTGTTGTTTCGTCAAAAATGCTTTGATAATATTTTCTATGGTTTTTTTTTTCAAAGGACTTCAAAATGAAGATGTCTGGATTTTGGGATTCTAACAAGGTAGTACGCTTTTAGGAGTTTGTCTAAAAGGTGTCTGAGAAGAACCACTAAAGTAATTATTTTGATTCAAAATGCTTCTCTTCCCAAACGTTGTTATAATGAGGTCAGAATCGCCTAATACTTAAACCTTTGTGACTTGTGATGTGAAGGCAGCAGACTGGGTTTGCTGGCAGAGCTGCTAGTCTGCCTCACCCAATCTGTGATTGTGGGCTCCACCTTCCAGAAGCTGTAGAAATCCATAGAAAGTGCCAGTTGAGTCCAGTATACCAGACCATGCATGGGAGAAAACCATGGAGGTGAGAGAAGGATTAGTAGGGCTTGTAATATTAGAGCTTACTGAAGACTGGCAATAGTTCATGGCCAGGCTGGATAACCTCACTGGGCACTGGGTAGAGAAGACAGAAGGGTCTTGACTGAGTATCGGTTAATCATTAATCCCAGGGTGAGCAACCTCAGAATGAAAGGTCACACAACAGTTGCTGGAAGAGATCTATTTTGACACGATATCTTTCTTAGTTGTTCAGTAAAACTATTTGGGGGATCATTGAAACTACTCTAAATTATCAGTGTTTGCTTCAAGATCTCACTGAAATCTGTACACCAACTTTCGCTATACTTGTGATAGAAAACTCTTGTTTTTTTCACTAAGAAATAAATGGAAATATAAGCTATATTTCTTTCAGTTATTCCCCAAAACACAAAAAAACAGGAAATGTTAAAGGACAGTCTCAGAAAGACAAATTTTCTTTTCATGAGGATTTCTTTTATTAAGAAAATATGACTCCTCAGAACTGTGTATTTAGACTTTGAGTTTCCAAAGTTGAGTTAAAATGTTTAATTTTTACACATTTTTCATAAATAAAACTAGGATCTTAATTCAAATTATAAGAAGCTTATGATTGGATTTATTATTAGTATTAAAGGAGCTACCTGATAGTGATCAAATTTTGGGACAATACTAATAATATGAAGATATGTTCAATTTCATAGTTAATATTTCACTATTTAATGTAAATTATGTTTTTAATGGGTGATTTCTCACTTAATTATAATACAATTTAGTGTACAAAAATTATATTTTTCATTGGAACTCACAATGAGCACTTTTCTAAGTTCCTGAAGCTTATGTTCATTGGACAGGTAGTTTTTTAAAATATCCCTTCCTTTAATACACACATATTACATTATTTCATAGCTTTCAGTTATAACTGATGCTCATTTTGGCTCACATTTCTTTTTTTCACATTACTTCAGTTACCACCTAAAAACTTTAGGAAATTAAATTAAATCTCAGTGGACTGCACTGGAAGAAGAAATTAGACACTGGATACTGACCTGAGAGATTTCATGTAAGACCTAAGCTAGATCTAATTTGTGCAAGTGACACTGTAATACAAGAGTACAATTAAATATATCGACTTTATTCAAAGAGTCTTTTAAAATATGTCAACATGAAAACTTTAGTTACAAAACTGTAGTCCCCATAATATTTTACAGAATACAGCATACAGGGGAATTCAAAACTATAAAAATCTGTTTCCAAATTTATATTGGATATTCTCAGATGCCTCATTAACTTGAAATATATCATCAAATAATCTGTTAAAACTTATATGCAGTAACTTTATTACACATTCTATTATAAGACTGTTAAATATTCAAATTCTTTTGAGTGTGTCTATTATTTGAAAGGATAGCATTGCTTTTACAGTTTTACTTTGGAAACATGCTAGTGTGTCCATATTTTCATTTCAAACGTGTATTCATGATATCACCCCATGAACTGGACCCTGGCAGCTAAGGAATTGATTTCCCAAGCATTACTAAACCAAAATCAACAGAGAAGTCTGTGGGTCATATCACTAAACTAAACACTATATATTTAAATGTATGCATTTCAAGTTTCAGCAAGAAAGGAATGTGCCTTTTACACCTTTGTGGTGGCCATCAAATTGCTTTTTTGACTCCCAAAGTTATTTATACAGAACTTGCACACATAAAACAAGTAAGTATTTATCTACTCTGGTATATGCATAAACAGAAAAGGCTGTGGGACCACAGCAGGGCCCCCAATTACAAGTCAGCCACAACTTTTCTATGTGATTATTGGCTACAGTGAATCTGGAAAAAAAATATTGCTGTTGGATGTTAATGTCTTCATATGCTTTTAAACATCCCTGAGATGAGAATGGCACTACAGAATCTTGCAAATAAGCAACCTTTTTTTCCTAGTTGCACAGCATGTTTTTAGCAAAGAAAAACATGTGTGGGAAACAAGCAAATACACCTTTCAAAATTAATTTGTGTCAGGAATGAAGCTATTTCCAACTCTAATTTCAGTCTGAAAAGGATTTCAACACTTGGCATTTCTCTTTGTCAATATATCTATACGAGTTTCTATTTTTTATGGCAGCAGAAAAATCTTGTGTTGCCTTGCTATAAGTTGAATCTTTTAATATACACCGGGGCTAGCCTCATTTCTGCCCAGGAAGTACTCACTCATGCATATACCCTGAAATCTCTTGGTGAATTTAAGAGTTTCTATTTAAAAATCAAAATGGATAAATTTATTTTTTAATTGTTTTCAATGTTTACTTATTTTTGAGAGACAGAGAGAGAGATAGAGTGCAAGTGAGGGAGGGACAGAGAGAGAGAGGGAGACACAAATTCTGAAGCAGGCTCCAGGCTCTGAGCTGACAGCACAGAGCCTGAACCCAAGAACCTCAAGATCATGACCTGAGGCGAAGTCAGACCTTAACCGACTGAGCCACTCATGTGCCCTCAAAATGGGTAAATTCCTAATTGTGTTTCTATGAATTGGTGTAATTTATTTTGGGATTTTGTTTAGTGCAACTAAAAAAAGTTCGATTAACACAAACTATGCTCGACAGTGATACATACATCAAGAGTTAGATATTTAGATGTGGATGATGTAGCTTTTCTTCTGGTTTCATTCAACCATGGAAAACTCTATGAATACATACATATTTCAGTAATTGTTTAGGTAAAAAAACTAAGATAACAAAATGGAAACTAGAATTCATTGTTTTTTGTTATAATCAGTAAAGTCTATTAAATATTTTCCTGTAGGTTTTTAAAAGTCATTGTTTTTGGACAAAGAGTACATATGAACTTATCTATTGTCACTCCTTGTAACAGTGTTTGGTTATTAATTTTAAATGCAAAAAAACACAAACGTATGAATAATACCAATTAGGAAATTCTTTCAATAATGATAAAAGGTAAAATTGGCCTTCCTTAATATATAATCTAGTAATGGCTATAATTACTTTTGGTAAATCTATTTTATTAGCAGAATACCCAGACACACACTATTGGTTGCTCAGCCAGAAAATATCTGCCATTTCTTCTGTTCTAATACTATGCTGATTTTGTGCAGGTATAAGGAAGTAATGTGCTCAAGGGGAAAGTGAGCTCTTTATCCCCAGGGAATAAATTATGCTTGGTATAATTCATTAATGGTTAATTCATGAGCTGGTATTAGTTATTGGTTCAGTGTGGACATGTGAATTAGTCTTGAATAATGAGACATGAAAGAATATTTGCTGGGAAATATTCTGGGGCTTTTTTTCCTCCTTCCTCAATAAAATGAAATTTACAAGATGTTCTAGAAGAAGTGAACTTGCTGCCTGTGAATACAGGATGCCTGAAGTTTCTGTAATTATCTTATGAAGATGAAAGTCAAGAGAATTATAGAGAAGACTTTTTGGAAGCTCTGCATGTCTGAACTGGTGAACTAACAAATCCCAGGAACACTTGCCTCTAAATTTCCAGTTATATTTAAGACATATTTAATTGGATATTCTGTTTCTCAGAGCAGCAGATATCTAAAAGACACTCATGCCATACACAATTTAAGTGAAGGTATCCTGCAAGAAAGTTTATATATTATCATGTATTTTATAAGTGTTTAAAGCACATTTTTTGAAAAAAATTTTAAATCATATATTTATATTTATCAGTGAGAAGGATTTATAGATATCTAACATTTGTTACTTTTGTCTACTCAATTTTATTTCCTTTTTCCTATATACTATCATCTAGTAAATTTTCTTTCAAGCCATTCTTTCTTCTTCACTGACCATGAGGATCCTGTGGAGTAGACCCTGTTCTCCCATTAATGGAATGATAACACTGACTGGTTCAGGGACAACCAGATGAACCAAACCATAACATCAGACTCCAACTTGTGTCCTTAATTTCTGCAGTTCTTTGTTTGGTGGCATTTAAAGCTAGAGTTGCTGGTAGCCATCTTGTCACCATGAAGGCTGAGTCTATAGGAGAATCTGCACTGAGAAAAGCACAGCTACAAAGAAAAATGAGAAAGCTCCTGGTAACATTATTTGACTCATTGCATCAGCACTGCCTGAAGAAGAAATAGTCTGAACTCTTCAGTTATAGGAGTTAGTAAATTTACCCTGGGTTGAGCATCTGTCACATACAAGCAGTGAGTCCCACCTAACACACTCAATAACCTACTTCAAGTAGACTTCTTTCTTGTAATTCACTGGTAGAAGATGTATGGAGTATTTGTAATTGTTCCAGTGGCATTACTAGACTAGGAATAATAAAATGGTATGTAATTATTAAGAATGATTCCGTAGGGTTTTATATTAAATTATTAAAAATAACCCTCTAGTGTACCCATTTTTTCCACATATATTATTTGATAATTTCTATTACATATAGCATTTTAAAAACTGATATCTGTAAATAGCACAAATTTGTTCTTTAAAAAAAAGTAATTTATTTTTCTTGAATTCATGGTCTACTGATCCAATTTGTATTCATTAAATTTCTTTCTGGATTTTTGCATCTTTTTTGGACTTTTCCACACTATTCTTTATGTATGAAGATAACTTGTCATGTTTTATTTTAATCTCATTGTCTTTTATCACTATATAATGGTTTTTTTTTAATAATGGATGACTCTATTAATACACTAATTTTCTCTTGATCTGGCTTTAAATTCTTAAATAGATCATTGACTTTCTCATATCTGTTATCACATCTTTGTGTTCTAGAAATTTAATGTGATTATTAAATGTGCCTTATCATTTTGATAGTCTTGCTTTTTAGATTTTCATAATTTTAATTTCTTTTTAATTTCATCTTCTGTATCTTCAAACATACTAAATTTACTCAATTTATATTCTCCTTCAATTTCTAACATCTGTTGTTTTTGAGAGTTTGGGTCTGTTGTTTGTTGTTTCTGCTAATGCTTTGTCATGATGGCTTGCTTTCTCCCAGAATGTTCCTGTGCTTTTTAACTGAGTTCATAATCATTGGAACTTTATCTGTGGGAATACTCTGACACTTGGGTTTAAGGGGATTGCCCCAAGCATGCTTTGAACATGGGTCTTTTAGACACATGAGACCTAATCTGAGGACACTTTAAATTAAATTCTTAGTTTAGGTTTATAAATTGATGGTTAGTATAAATCCCAGACCCATATCTGAATGAGAGTTGGTTTGTGGTTAAAAATTCTCAAGGAAGACTTTTTATTCTGCCTCCCCAAAGCCAAGTCAATATCAATAGCATATAATTTGATAGACAGTCTACACAAGAACATTTTGGGTATAACTAATTTATACTTAATAGTCTAGAAAAAAATAATTTACCTGTTTAAACAGGAGATAGTGCCAACATTAAAGTAGAAATTACAGAAAAGAATAGAGCACAACTATAAAATGGGGAGTTAATTTTCATTTTCAGATAAAGTGACAGATAATTTTCTCACAAAATTTTACTTACAGCTTTATCTGAAAAGGTCTCTTCATAAAATACTAGCATCAAAGCAAACTGTACAACTGCATATATCCTCAATAGATGAGACACCGATGATGAAAAGGGAACTTCTTTCCCGGTGACCTAGGAAGACAAGAAAGAAGCTTTATTTTGCTCCCTGGCTTATTCTACTCATTGACATTCACACCAAGTAAAGAGGAGATGTGTAAAAGAAAGGAAAAGCTTTGCTACTTTTTTTTTCCCAAAATTACTCACATTCTTTTTCATTTTGATAGAAAAACATAAAAGTTCAGAAACTTGTTTTTCATTTCAGAAGCATCATGATTATGATTTAGTCTACTTTATAACAAACTGGTATAAGAATTGATTCAGCAACATGTACTGATGACAAATACAACTAACATGAACATAAAAATATGAATACAGAAATGTGTCCAGGATTATACATGAAAGTAAAGAAAAAGAAAAAAATGGAAGGCCATTTTTAGTAGTGGAGATAATCATGCCTGAAAGGGAAATATTACATTATTGGAAACAACTTTCCTAAATTATGGAGTTTCCAAAAAATACCACAACTCTACTTTCATAATGCAAATTTAGGCATAAATATGACTTCAGAGTATTCACTCTGGATTATCTATTGAAAAATAGAAAAAATAATAAATGGATCACAGCAAACTAAACTTTTTAGAGCTGAAATAAAGCAAATTATTTTCATCTATATCAGATTAGCACATTGTTACAAAACTGATTTTGAACATAACTAAAAATATCTGGGAAATTTCAGCAAAGCAGCTTCCATAACTGGATGAAAAAACATCCTCATTTGGATCAAGAGTTTTAAAAAATAACAATATTAAAATAAAAAAAGATATTATTTCCTTATAATATTGGCTAATTTTATACTTGCAATTATCTTTGAAACCAACAATAGCTTACCCTTTCTGTTGCTTTCAGGTTACTATTAATGACAGTTATTTTAATAAGGAACCACAATATATACCCTGAAAGGTTGAAAAGAAAATCCTTTTTTTCATCTCTATAAGAATTCCAGATTGAAATTGAATTTTTCATTTGGTTTCCAGGGTTTGAAATCTCCACCTCACTTATTTTTGGGTTTTAATGTGATTTCTGAATTTAATGCTACTGCTGTACCTCAGAATGAATTAGGTTATGATCTAATCTAATAACCAAATCATCTTGGTGTGGCTTTTGACCTTCCATTCTAGAGACTTTATTTATTTATTTATTTTTTAATTTCAGTATAGTTGACACACAATGTGACATTAGTTTCAGGTATACAACTTAGTGTTGTGACAAATTCATACATTATGCTATGTTTGCTACAAGTATAGCTACCATCTATCCTGGTATACTGTTATTACAATATCATTGACTATATTCTTTATGCTGTGACTTTTATTCCTGTGACTTATTCATCCCATAACTGTAAGTCTGTACCTCCTACTCCCCTTCATTCATTGGATGTGCCAATTTAAATTCCCACCAACAGGATACGGGGATTCTTTTTCTCCACATCTTCACCAGGACTTGTTATTTCTTGTCTTTTTGATTTTAGCCACTCTAACAAGAGTAAGGGGATATCTCATTGTGGTTTTGATTTGCATTTCCCTGATGATTAGTGGTGTTGACCATCTTTTCATTCTTTCATGAACAAAATGAAAGAAGCATCTTTAAGGCTCCATCTCTAATGTTTCAGGATTCTGTGACCCAGTAACATACGTTTGCGTAGTTTTTGCACTACATAAAGCTTCTTTGCTGTAGGTTTGAGTGGATCTGAAACCTAGCCTCTGCTGCTCTGCCTCCGAACCAGGCTCCCCAGTAAGAGGCAGTGTCATCCTGGGAGAAGGCCCTCCTCTTATCCGTGCCTAGGTGGTACCTACTCAGTAAGTTATGCACCACAGGGCTGTATCTGCCGAAGGGAACATCTTTTTTTTTCAGATCTTCATGAAGTCAACATACATACAGGCTGGCTGTTGACCTGACGATATGATACTAATCTTTACCATCACCAACATGAACTCTATTTACCTCTGGGATTTCTTCACTTAGCCCAAGTCTTGGTTTACCTGGACTCCATCCTGGTCCTTTAAATAGGACAGAAAACTTATTGAAGAATCCAGGTGTGGCCCAGAATGTAGTCCATATGTAAACTAAATGGTGGCACTAGAAGAACAAAAATAGAGCTTATTTAAAAAAAGAAAAACTCATAACAAAAATATTAAGTACAACTAATCATACATTTTATTTTCTTTATTTACTGTTCAATGACATTTGTATATTTTTATCTGTAATATACAGGTTATGTGTAATGTGGTTAATGTAGATTAATGTGCAGTTGCATTCCAAACTGTAATTCATTCTATTCATTCTGTGTCCTCTAAGTGTGTTCTTGTCAATATTTCTGAAGTGCCACAAAATTATAATTTTGAAGTTAAAGAAGAGGACAATTATTTAGAAAACAGCACAATAGAAAAAAAAAATGAGTTAACAGCTTTGCTTCCAATGGAATTAACCAGCACCTTGTGAACTCTACATCCGCATCTAATGATATTCTTTCTAGAGTCTTGCTAAATGGATATTAAAGTTGAACACAGAAACACACAAATATTAAAAATAGCCCTTTATTTGCTGTATTGAGTTATAGACAATCATATCATACTTAAGGAAACATATTCAAAGCCATTTCTGCATCTTTTAGCAGGAATCCACATTCTTTAAATAACACATTTGACATGTACAGTACTTAAAAGTATGCTCACGCATGAGAAGTACTCAGTAAATATTAGCAATTAGGGTAATTAGACATATATTCCATACATGTGATAATAATGCATCATAGGTTAAAAATAGTTCTAGAGGTTGTACATCAGCTACAGATGCTAGAAATGAGTTCTATTAGAAGTGAAGTAAAAAATTAATGTACAAAGAAGTTTTGGCTCTTTGGGAATTTGTGGTCTCATTGGTATTTTCACTGTCTGTAAAAAATTTAAACTGCTAGGATTATAAAACTGGTTTTAAAATTGCTTGAAACATTACAATAAGTAATCTGAAACAATTAATGAACAATGTAGGGTTTAGTGGGGCAGATTTTAAAGTGAATAGAAATTCCAGATGGAAATTTACACTGGGGCTTAATAATAATAATAATAATAATAATAATACAAAACTTATTGTGCTTAGGAATTATAACATATATTAATATACTTATCTGTCTGTTATTTTGAAAACTGACAACATTTCATTGGTCTCATTGTAGACATAGCCATGAGAAATACACGGTGACTTTTTAAAATAAGGAGTACTTTCCCACTTATTTGCCTTCCAATGCCCTTAAAGTCCTGGACTCCAAATGAGAGCAAAGTGAATGTCCTATACCCAATATACAGGGGGACAAATCCCTCTCCACCTAGTGGAGGTCATCCTCTGTTGCTTTTGATACGTCTGAGGGAAAGGTGAGAAATTTAGCTGAATATAAAGGAATACCAGTGAAAGTAAGTATACGTTTTTGTAGGTTCAAGAACTCCTAATTCACTCAACGTTGCCAATATGACATTTTTGACAATGTAAGTGAGAGTCTAGAAGCCTATGTCTTGTACACAGTTGTGATAAGGAAAGTTTTACATGAGGACAGAGGCCTGGGGAACTGAACCTGACACAGATTCAACATCAGCTCATAAGTCTAATCATCTGATTTTTGTTTCCCCCAAATCCTGTCATCTAACTCCTTGCGCTGCTAGTGTTGTGCGGTTTTCAGCCTCTCATCTGTCTCAGCGATGATCCCCTTGCCCTCATCAGGAGTGTACGCTCCCATATCCTTGCTACTTAAGGATCAGAAGGAAACAACAGGTTCTGCAGCTCCTGGGAGCTTGTTAGATATACAGAATCTTGGACACACCTCAGAGCCAGTGAACAGAATCTGGGCTAAATTTAGTAAGATTCTTGCATGATTCATATGCACATGAAGTTTCAAAGGCTCCTTTCCAGAGGACAAAGACCAAGCTTTTAATGTTCTTATTACAGAGATAAGACTATACCAAGTGAAAAGGTAGTTCTCAATGTATTACTTTTAAATTAATTTCAATTCTATAAAGTTTATTAAGAAAGTACTCTGAAATATTTGCTAATATTCTCCTGAGGGATATAACTTTAGGAATGCCCAACACAGAGAGAGGGAAAGACAGAGAGACAGAGCTGGCCTACAGTTGAGAAGGAAGAAAATGAATAATCACCTTTTCTCACTTGATAAAAATGCCATTCATTTGAAAAGTGGAGGCAATTTGTGACGGCCTTTTCTATGAAGAGGCAGTACAGTGTAAAAGTTAAATTGAGTTAAGCAAGTCTTGGGCTTGGCCTGCAACACTCCTTGGTTATGTCTGAATCTGACAAGCTGTGTATGGCTGGTTGAATTGTTTAAATCCTGGGAAATTCAGCCTCACCCACTAAAAATCGAGGATTAAAAAGTATCTCTATGTCATAAGGTTTGAGTAAGAGTTTCATTAAATACGCATGCTGAGCTGCTAGCAATACCCTGTACATAGAAAAAGCTCAAGAAATGTCCATTTATTTTGTTATTTTAACTTCCTTAAAAACTTTTAAGAAATAGGATCAGAGAGCAGACCTGACGGGAACCTGTAATTACCGCCCTTCCCGAATGCTATAATCCCGGTTCTATGTACAGAGCTGTCACTGCCTGACCTCTTCAGCTTCTCAAGCATTCTTATCTTTTTCTCATTTGCTAGTCCCTAACCCCAGGAGTGTTTGTGGTGCTCTGTTGCTGACGGATCAGAGCTTCACAGACATTCCTCATTTCTCTAGTGCCAGCCATTGAGATCAGTGAACAACCAATACCACATGTCTAACGGAAAACTGGTCTGGGGCTACAAGTCTTAGCAGGTGAGGTAATGTGCAGACCTAACCAACTCGTAATAGCTCCTGACATTTAGGTCCAAGTAGAATAGGGCAAAGGCCTCATGTTGAATTTCTAACCAGAGTCATGCGGCCTTGAAGCAAATATTTTTCTTACTGTGGTATCAGCCTTTATAATGCATTTACTACTGTTCTTTCTGAATCCATGAATATATTTCAGGTCTATTCTGAGAAAGAATATGTTTGCTTGAAGGGCTATTTTTGAAAAAAATTCTCTGTAGTAGGTATATTTAAAAGTTCTTAAAATGAGTTGTTTTCAAACACATTTTGCCCAAGTTAATTCAAGATTTTGCTTGAGTGTCAGAGTTACTTCTAGCTTCTTTTATGGTTAAAAAAAATTTTTTTCTTTTCAGGATAGTGTGAGGTACTTTCACCTTTCAACAACTGATCTTTATTTTAGCTATAACATTTGTGAAAGGATATAACCAATTCAGAAATAATAAAATAAATTACATTACCTGCACCATGAATGGTTCAAATGTATTAATGGGATGCGTTAGACCATATACAACTTTTTCATTTTCTGCCTCGAATGTCCCTGGAAGATAAACATTAAGGATATGATCTTTGACTTTCTATGAGCTTAGGAGGTAAGTTAATATTTTTATGTTCACATATATTTTACTTACCAAAAATTCTATCCCATATAATAAGAACGCCAGCATAATTTTTGTCAATGCAATAACGGTTTCTCCCTATGACACACAATATTAAAAGAAAAAAAAAGGTTTTGAAAAATGAAGTTATACTTTTGAAACATCTTATTGTATTTTAGAACCCATTCACAAAATTAAGACATGCAACAAAATGATTTTCCTAAGAATCTCTTTTCACTGACAACATTAGATTATTTGCTAAGTAAATTGTTTTTATTTTATTTTTTTCCTATTGAGTTAATTTTACCAAGATGACCAGAGAATTCCTTAAAACTACATACATTTGGAATTTCCCCAGATTTCTTTTTCAGAGAGTGAGAGAGAGAGAGAGAGAGAGAGAGAGAAACAATGTGTGTGTGCATACAGGGGAGGGGCAGGGGAGAGGGAGAGAGAGAATCTCGAGCAGGCTCCATACCCAGTGCCAAGTAGGATGTGGTCCTCGATCCCATAATTTTTTAAAAAATGTTTTTGCTCTTAATTTTCCAGTTGTTTAGAAATCTGGCATAATTCTGAGTAATTTTACTTTTAAAAATTTTACTTTTTACTATCAAAGAGTAGTGTGTCTGGTGGCTCAGTCAGTTAAGCTCCCAACTTCAGCTAAGGTCATCATTAAACTGTTCATGAGTTCAAGCCCTGCATCAGGCTCTGTGCTGACAGCTCAGAGCCTGGAACCTGCTTCAGATTCTGTGTCTCCCTCTCTCTCTGCCCCCTCCCCACTCCTGCATGCATAGTCTCTCTCTCTCTTAAAAATAATCATTAAAATTTTTTAAAAAAAGACTATCAAAGAGTAATAATTAAAAATTAAATGGCCCAGAAAAAGGCAATAGGGAATAAGATAACTGATATATGTGTATTTGCATTTGGTTGATTTTTTTAATTTTGAAATGAGTTGCTATCTCTAGCTCTTCTCCCTGAATCTTTTCCAGGAAAAAAAAAATTTCTACTTAGACTGAGACTTTACTATTTATTTTAATCATGAAAGACATAAGTGAAAATTAAATTACCCTTAATTATTTTTATTAACTATTACTCAAAACATATATATTTTTCTTCCAAAGTATTCAAATTATAAAGAGCTCACCAAACTCCACACCCGAAAATCAAATTATAATTTAAAATGAAATAGTTGGGCATTGTTTCTTTAATAATAAAAAAATGCTTAAATATGTACCCCCGTATTCACATAAGTATAAATCAAAGGAAAAATATTAACCTATCAAGCCACTGCTCCAACAAATTCAACTGTCTTCATGTGTCATTTCTTTGCATGCCTTCTATACATGTTAATATATGTTTGAAAGTGAAGACACACAGGACAACCTCTCCAGTCCAAAAGTAGTGTGGGTCTGGCTACACAAATGCACAACCCATTGCTATATATGGGCTAAACAGTGGTTCTTAGTTGGAGGAGAGAACATCTTGCTTCTCAGGGGACATGTGGAAATGTCTGGAGAATTTGTTGAGAGTCACAACTGGGAGGGGATATTATCTGCACTTAGTATGCAGAAACCAAAATCCTACAATACAAAGGGTAGCCCCATTCCTAACCTCCCACCTCCAAGTGAAGAACTATCTGGCCCAAAACATTAATAATGCTGAGGGTAAGAGGTGCCTCGGTGGCTCAGCTGGTTAAGTGACCAACTTTGGCTCAGGTCATGATCTTGCAGTTCCTGGGTTGGAGACCCACATAGGGCTCTTGCTGACAAAGCCTGAAGCCTGGTTTGGATTCTGTGTCTCCCCCCTCTCTCCTCCTCCCCTACTCAAGCTTTCTCAAAAATAAAGAAACGTTAAAGAAAATAATAATAACACTGAGGGTAAGAGATGCGAACATAAAACAACAGGAGTGGGAATGTGCTCTGAAGCTAAACAGAGAACACTAGTAACTATTTCTTCTTCAGTATGGATTTATTCTTCTCCACTCCTTATGTTTCCTTTACTGTGAAGGGAGCCCCAAGAGTCTCTCCAGCTTCTCGCTAACAATTCTCCTTGGGACCAGGAATGTATGTGAAGTTTGGAAGAGGAAACTGAGCATGTGCAGCCTGACCCCACCCACTTCTCTTCCTTTTGAAGGGAGATTATGGGACTTGTGTTTCTGCTCTTCTCCCTGCCAGGCAGAAAGGAACCCACCCCTTGGGAAGGCAGGCCTGCAGTGTTCGAGTGCTGCCTGCGATGCCTGCAAACTTATGAAAACAGAACAATAGTATTTATTATTTTATTACTGTCTTCCTTTTCTCAGCACTATGTATGTAAGATGTATTCAGGCCATCACAAGTTGCAACAGTTTGGACATGTTTTTTTTGGTATGTAATTCCCCATTATATGAAAAGTCTACAAATTTATCTGTTCTCCTGCAATAAGCATTTGAATTTTATCTCTATTTTTTCCATTACATAAAATGCTGCTATGCACATTCTTATACAGGTCTTTTGGTGCACACATGTAAACAATTCTGTTATGTCTTATGCTGGTATCTTTAAATCTTAAGTACTAGTCACATGGGATTTTTTTCTCTGTCATGCTAATGCAGTTCACAGAATTTAGGCAAAAAGTGAATTTCTGCCTATTAGGCTTTCCTGAAATCGCAACAATTTTCAAGACCAGAGACTTTCTGGTTGTATATAGGAATGACCCTCAACATTGGGTCAGGTGGTACCTTCAACATAGAAAGTGTGTATCCCCTCAGCTGGTTAAGTTGTTTGCCACTACAACTAAGGAGATCTAGACAAAAAGGAAAATCCAAACAAGATTTTTTTCCCCTCCAATAATTGCTTTGGAAAAGAGGCTTGTCCAGGTACGATGGAAGGCATGATACCTATTTATACACTGAATGGTGACTATGTTGAATAATTGTGATGAAAAGGTACAAAATAATAGTATTTTTAAAGAAATGAATAAGGAGAAAAAAGGTCAAATTTCCTTACCATGATGAACCCGATGATGGCTAGGAGTATTAAGAATCAGTTCCAAAGGACCAAGGTTATTAATGATCTGTTTAAAACAAAAGCAATATTTATACACAGTTATCGATAAATGTGTACGTATACTCACATTAACTTTCCATGTGGGTCAAGAGACATTTCAAGTTTCAAGGTTGACTTCAGAGTCAGAAGAAGTTTCTCTGATTCCTGGGGTTCCTATGAAAATAACAATAATCTCCTAACTCTATTCTGGGAGGCAGTACAGTAAAAGGTTAAGAGTGATGCTGCCTAAATTCAGCTCCAGGAGCCTCCATTTATTGCTATGTGATCCTGGGAAAACAACTTAAGCTTTTTATATTCAGTTTCCTCATCTTTCAAATGGAAATATTAAACATATCCACATAATAACATTCTGAGGGTTACAAACAGTACGGTATTTATATACCGTGTCAAGGCACACTGCTCTCACATCTGTCATTTCACGCTCTTCACCCTTCAACTATGTCTTTGTTGATTAATGGTAACAGCGCATCACTAAAGAAGGGAAGACATCATATTACATTTGCTTTGTGGTTAGTTGAGAGTTGGTTCACCTAATAATCAGCCATGTTACCTACTGCATTAGGGCGATTCTGCTTATTCAAATAGAATCCTTAATGGCCTTTTACCTATAGATGTACCATCTTTAAGTCCAATTTACAGGCACAATTAAAAATCAAATGTAGGGGAGCTTTTCAGTCAGTTAAGTGTCTGACTTCAGCCTGTGTCATGATCTTACAGTTTGTGAGTTGAAGCCCTGTGTAGAGCTCTGTGCTAACAGCTCAGCCTGGAGCCTGCTTCAGATTCTGTGTCTCCCTCTCTCTCTGTCCCTCTCTGCTCACATTCTGTCTCTCTGTCTCTCTCTCAAAAATAAATAAAGATTAAAAAACATTTTAAGTCAAATATATAAAGGGGTATTTTTTTTTTCAATTAAGGACCCTTCAGAATGTGGTCTATAACTTTTTAATGTTATCTCTCAAAATTTCCCAGTGAGAATCCCCATTCCAGGGTCTGCAGATTCCAAAGAGTGTAGGAATGAGGTAGGTGTCATAAAAAAGAGCAGGTCATATAAGACATTTGATACGCTACATTAACTGGAAGCAATATTGGGAACTCTTTTAATTTTGATTACATTATTCTTCCATCAATTATGGCAGATACTAGAATGTTTACTTGAATTATGACCTAGGTCAATTTGTTTAGAGCCTACTAATGACAAAATCAATACATTGTTATATTTTAAGAAATTACTCACCACTAGAGTTACTTTCCATTTATAGGATATATGAGGAAAAAGAGGTAAGTTAGATGATGCTTAGGGGAAAAACATTCACTGACAACGATGATACTTGAATTGGCAACGAGTCAGTGGTACGAGGAAAAAATAGAGAGATGCGACTGCTTAAGATAAAAAGATATTTAAGATACGTAACAACTAGATGTAGTATGATGGTCTTGTGAGAATACCAATTTGAACAAACCAAACATAAAAGACATTTTATAGGCAATGCGGGATAAGAAAATGATTATATAGAGGGCATTACATAGTAAATAATACTGCTTTTATTGAAAATTATAGTGGAGTTTTGTGTAGGGGGAAGTAACTGTTTTTTTAGAGTTGTATAACTGAAGTATACATGACATGAGATCTATGTTTTGCTGAAAGATATTTGGCAATGAAAAAAGAAAAAGAAGGATAATTAATGAAAATGAATCAAAATCATAATGATTTTTTGATTGAAGTGATGGATATACATAATGCACTCTATTATTCTACTCATCTAAATGTTTGAAAAAATTAAGATAAAATTGTAAATAAAAGAAATACTACTCTAGTAATACAAAGTAATGTTCAGTTACCCAGTTGGAAGTATTAATAGATCTCTAAAGTCCCAAACAGATTTCTAGATTGCAACTCTTTATATAGCAGGGTTTAATGACTTTTGGGCAATCTCTGACACTAAAACCCAGTTTAAAGTTGCTGTGCAAATGTGAACAGCTGCAGTAGCCACACTGTGCACAGCTTGTGGGGTCCTATACTCTTGAGATAAGAGCTGCAGCAATGTTGCCACATGACAGTGCTGCATGTCTCCATAGGGCAGGTGCCACCATCATCTCCTTACTAAACCCATTGTATACACATCTGAAAGCAGCAGCCCTTGGTTTCCATCCTGGTGCCAGGCTTCTAAGGGATTGTCAGTTTTCATTATGCAACAGACAGAAATGTTTACATGCAAAGGATGTGTAATATTTCATGTCCTATATTGATTTAACCACCCTCCCTCCTAGTTTCTTTTCTTTCTCTCTCTTTCTCTTTTCCTTTCCTTTTCCTTCTCCTTTCCTTTTCTTTCTCTTCTTTCTCTTCTTTCTTTCTTTCTTTCTTTCTTTCTTTCTTTCTTTCTTTCTTTCTTTCTTTCTAGCATGGTGTTTTATCACCATTTTTAAAGTTATTTCCCTGAAAAATATATTATGAACCCGAAACAACAGAATTTTTGGATAACTCAGAACAGAATTCATTTATACGCAAAGAACTACCCGTATTTTTTTTTAATTCCAGAAATTCAAAATACTGTGAATATGTATAATATGTATAAGGATATCAGACTACATTCCTATCAAATCAGTCACAAAAGATATCATCCCACAAATACAGTACTAACAGCCAGGGATTTTATTGGACTCCACTGCTTTGTACTTGGTGGAAAAATATTTGTTAAGAAGAAGGATGGTGATGGATAGAGAACAAGAAAGTGGGGTTTCTCAGCAGTCAGAACATTGAAATCTGATGCTCAGTTCAAGCTTTGTATCTCTGGCAGAATACCAGATGGGAAAGGAGAAAACCATTTTATCCTTGTTTGTCTCTTTGGTGCCTAACATATGTTACAAAAAGAGACAACAAAAGGGGGTGGAGGAGACTATGGTGACCAGCTTCTGCTACCCAGATGCATTTCTGATCCTTGGTCTTGGCGTGTGTGCAGCAGATTTAAAGCCACACAAATGGTGAGTGCATTCAGATGGCTGGAGCCTTGGCTGAGTGCATTATTTTTTTAATGTCAAACACTTTTCCTCAAAGAAAATCTTTTGCTCCTGCAAGCTAAAGCATGGTGATATCAATATTGAAAGTCCCCCCCGCCCACTTTTTTTTTTTAAGTTAAAAGCCAAGTACAACACAGGCAATCACAGTCAAATTTCCTGGTATTGCCTATGAGTACCTTGGAGCTGAGGAAGACCACCTCGGGTGGGAGATGATTCATCATTCAGACAGCCCAGTCAGAACCTCTCTTGTAGAAAACGCTTCTGACTCAGTCATGGAGAAGTCATCAATAATTAATAAGGTTTGAGCATAACGACTTAATTATCGCCCACTTTTGCAAATTCAGTCATTTAGCAATTCAACGACATCTAGCTTTGAACCACTTCCTGAAAATATGTTACTGTGGAAATAATTGCAACTATTCTCATTTTTAGGTAGTTATTTTTTGTCTTGCTTTTTAAGATTTAGATGAGTTAATTTAAATGATGGAATTTTCTAACATATAGAAGACTTAAAAACAATATAGTCCAATACTCTCTTATTTAAAAAAAAAAACTGACATTCGGAAAATTTTAATTATCAGTCCAAGTCAAACAGCTTGGAAGAAGCGCTGAAGTCTTCTTCATTTCAACTCAGGGATTTTTTGTTTTTCTATCACATTGCTTTTAAGAGATACAGAAATAGTTCCATCAAATAAAAGCAATTTAAACTTTCAGAAGTTTCATGGAAAATAACTAAATGCTTTTTTCCCTCATTTCAGCCAAAAGAAATCCAGGTATTTATAAAGAACCTAGACACTTCAGATTCTAAACTGCCATCTCATGGGATTTTAGGCATTTCTGGTGTTTCTTAGATTTCCAAAACAATGATCTAAGTCTTGTATACTTGTCATTTTCTTTCAGAATTTTATAACCTGAGAAGCATGGATACCTAGAAAGGCCATCAATGGGCTTCAGAAGGTCAGGAACACCCTAAGTATTATACCAAATTTTATGAATATGTGCCAGTGGGTATTTTTTTCTAGGAGGAAATTGCTATTTTCATCATATACTCAGAGGGATAGATGAGTCCTAGGAGGTTATGAGCCCATGTTCCCAACAAGGGCTTTAGATTATTTCCTTCACCCTTATTTATATTGTTTTTAGTTTCCATATTAATAAAACTTGGATACTAATTTCTCATCCAAACTTCAGAAACAGTGACTTAAACATTTTTTCTGCCTATTTCTTGAAATAATTATTTCCCAAAAAACTCATTTCTTGGGCTGTTTTTACTTGTACAATAATAAGTTATTATAAATGAACCAATAATAAATAAAACAATTTTATAATAATAAGGTACTTCAATTCTATCAGTGAAATTTTATCCAGTAGAAGTGCTCTATATCATTGGCTAGACTGGTCACATATTCATTTTTCTCCCCACAGTTTATGGCAGGGGTGGGTAAACAGAGTTAAATATAAAATCAGGAGAATAGAGGCCACAAGACACCGTCATCTTTTCATTAAGTCATTTCCCGTCATCAAAAATAAAATGAATTCAAATGAAAGGCCTCTTACAATGAACCAAATGAAGCCCAAAAGATGTGGAATTCAAAGCTGTTCAAACTCTTCATCAAGACCCATTTCCAATGTTCTCTTTCTTCCGCCTAAAAGACCTTAACCTCCTATCTCAACCTGCTGGAATCCTGCTCTTCCTTTAAGACACACCTAGATTTTGAAACATTCTTCTTGATTTTTCCAATGAGAATTTTCTTTGCCTTTCTCTGAATACATATTGAGGCATCACTAATTTTTATGTCATGCTGTTCTGATATCTAGTTATTCATGTTCACTTCTTATACAATATTGAAAGTTCATTGAGGACAGAAACTCTAACTCAAGCCTCTTTGTTTCTCACAGCACATGCAACACTGCCTTGCATATAGTGACTGCCAAACAAGATTATATTGATAAATCCCCCTCACTGCCCTCCATGCCCTTTCACCTTTATATCAG